CCTCGTGTAGTTTTGCGCGAAATTTATAACAAACCAAATTAATTTAATTTTTGCAACTTATGCAGTAAATGATACATTCAGTGGTACATGTAAGGGACTGTCTTATGTCGAAAGTTGTGTTCTTTCCTCGTTTACATGTGTGAGTGCCTGGAGTATCATTGTGTTTTTGTTTAAGGTTACCGTGCACCAGGATTTCTTTTAGGTTTTCGTCATGTCTGTAAGAAATAATTGGGGGGGGGTCATTGAAAAGAGATTTAGTGGTAGGATTGAGTGCTTGCCCCCCAGAAGCTCAGTGGTAAGTCTAGGAGCTCACACAGCCAAAAACCGGGTTTCGATACTTGTGGTGGGTTGGACACTAAAACGTTCAACCAAGTTTTCTAGAGTTAGTGTCGTTTATTCTCAATAAAATAATATTAAAACTTTATTATGCCTTACGAAAGTTAACATCGAAACGTTTCAATTTAATATAATCCATTTGACTGTAAAGAAGAGTTATCGGGATACCTATTAAACATTAATGAAACTGTCTTTTGCTCGAGTTGGGAAACTCCCATTATCTTTATGTTTTTTACAAGTATCTTTACGTATTTAGATTAGCATTCTTATAAAACATTATGCTCAATGTGTGGTAGTGCTTTCTCCCCCCCCACCCCCCCAAAAAAAGATTTAAAGTAACGTATTTGAGTTTTAAACTTCTTATCGAGTTTCATATTCACGATTTAATTAGTTTTAATTATGTTTGTATGTTAATTAAACTGTTAGTTTTACATATTTAACAACTTCTTTATAAAAAAATATTGAAAACATCACAAGTACATATCCACAATACTTTACGATTCCTATAACAATTACCTCAAAACATTATACACTATATGAACCTGTCATTAGTTAAAGAATGTCATCATTAATCGTACTTTGCGGACACCATCTGACTGGCAACAACAACAACGACAACAACAAGAAATACACTGTGTTTTCCTGTTATATGTCCACTAAGTGCTGTTCTGCTTTTGTATCTTATGGATTTTTTTTTTTGGTAGTGCTGAACAGCTTTCTTAACTTATCACGCCAGTGGGGAAAAAAAAAATTTTTTAATGACTTTGCACATTAGTTCATTATTCAAAGCACATTCACTGTTCTTGCGTGATACAGTTTTTCCCCCCGTAACTCTCGTTTCTTGTCATATATATATATTCACTAACTCAAAACAACCACTATATATATTTCACTCATGTTGGTGAATGTAACTGTAATATAAAAAGGGTTTGTAACTCACCTCCATGCACATGATGGCGTGTATGTGTCCACGGAACGTACGCTTTAACGTGCCTGATTTAGCCTCAAACATTCTGGCCAGCTTGTCTCCACATCCAGTGTATACTGCAAAGACAAGAATAAATAAACCGTAGTTAAATCTAACGAGAAAAATTTCCATATGAAAAAAAGATAGAAACGATTCACAGGAATAATCAGGGCATTATTAGAACATTCTGAAGACTTATGTGTGAAAGAACAGAAGAATAGGCAGTAATATGTCAACCATACAACCATAACATATAGGCCCCAACCTTAACTTTTGATGGTATTAGCACAGTGGTTGCTAGCTTCCTAGTTATTTCTTTTCATTAGCAAATTTAGGACTGCTATTGGTAAGAGCACTATTTTTCTTAAACATTTACTGTAACTATGTCATAATTAATCATTTCGTGCATTAAATGTAAATAGATATGTTTATATCTTATTTATATGTATAACTTTTTATGTTATGTTTTGCTTTCAAATAATAAAACTTATTTTAATTACACGTAACAGTATTTTCGTTTTATCTATTTCACAAAAGTTAAAAAAAGATGTTCGTTTTGGTCTGAAACTGGTGTATCTAGGCCTCGAGCTCCTGGTTCTCCGACGTCTACAGTGCCACAGAGGTTAAGATTTAAATGCCGAATGCTGGCGAAGCACTAGAAGAGAATAGGCCTGGAGTTTGTGTTAAACTCTGACAAATTAAGAAGAAAATGAAAAAAAAAGACATTTGCAGTTTAACTAATATCTATTCTATTAGTGTTTCCAACAACAATCACTTGGGCAAAGTATTTCTAACGACGCTAACAAGAAAATTGGACTGCAGAGGCGGGATTATGTGAGCCTACCTGGTTGGCCCATGTGCTAATTGCCCAGGCGTCCATTCTGAAGAGTTGAATCTAAGGTTTCGCTATCCCCTTTTCCCGATACATAGCCTGGATATGCCATACAGCTCAATCGGGAATCGCAAATTGATATGGCCCCGGCAAGTGAAGCAATGTTATGTATTGCAGTAATAAATCATACAGTAGGATAATACGCTAATTGAAATTCGAACCAAGGAAATATGACTTAATATCAAAGTAAACGAGTATAATGCTTGCTTTTCTTCAGATTTCCGATGATGATATTGTAGTTGTTGAAACTTCTATAAATATCAAACTAAAGCAGAGAACAGCTGCAGAATCTTACAATACATATACCTGAAATGCTATTCTTCTTGTTGCCTGGATTCTTGACTTAGCTTTAAAATATTTTACCAATCCACCTTAAGACAATTTATATCGAACAAGATAAACCTCAGTATATCGTAATTGTTTCCAATGATATCGATATCAAAGTGAGTTCTTAGATTGTGTTGGTTCAGATAGGACGGAATATTTCTGTGTTGGTTACTTAACATTTTCAAACTAATTTTTTCATTAATTATATCTTTAAAAAAATTGTTTTTGGTGGTGTGCGTGTGGGCAGAAAATGATTTTTGGGCTAATAAAGTATTTTGTACATAACTGATACAAAATGAAATAGGTTTATCTTCCAGTTCAAGGTTACAACCATATCTCAAAGTCGTCTTGTAAGTGCCTATTAATAATGCATGGGCACACAGCTGATACAAAATTAAATAGGTTTATCTTCCAATTCAAGCTTACAACCATATCTCAAAGTCGTCTTATAAGTGCCTATTAATAATGCATGGGCACAAAACTGATACAAAATTAAATAGGTTTATCTTCCAATTCAAGCTTACAACCATATCTCAAGGTCGTCTTATAAGTGCCTATTAATAATGCATGGGCACAAAACTGATACAAAATTAAATAGGTTTATCTTCCAGTTCAAGCTTACAACCATATCTCAAGGTCGTCTTATAAGTGCCTATTAATAAATGCATGTTAATAACAAGTGTTTCTTGTTTGTTTTTAAACACACAACTACACAATGAGCTATCTGTGCAGTGCCAATCGCAGGTATTGAAACCCAAGTTTTATTATGACCATGGTCAATCCTAACGGCAAATTCCGTTGTTTATTTTTTGAACAAACTATATATTTAAATCAAGATTCCCGTTTCAAAGTTTTGTTTGAACAATTAACAGTCTATTTCCACTTCTCATACTGACATTCAAACATTAACTTGACGGTGATAGCTTTTGGAATTTGGAACACGCTATACACACAAAGAGCTGAATATTGGCCATATAATATTTTATCTTTTTGAACAAAGTATACAATTTGAAAACTAAACAAAAATTAAATAGATAATGTATATACGAATAACTAAGAGTGTGTCATGTTATAAAGGAGGCACAAGAAAGAAGGCATTGGTTCATAATTTAGATTGTTATCGATATTTTCGGCCGTAATCCCAAAAATATATGTAGCAAGTATTGGTTACCTTACAAGAAACACAAAAGCTGGCCCTAAGCATACATAGGAGCACAGAGAAGAACAAAGATTCTCACAGAAACATATATTATTAATTCGTGCATTGAATGAAATGAAAATGTGAATATAAATAATATGATTACCAGAGACAGTTCGGGTTCAGTTTACCCTCTTTTAGTATTTACCATCTCTCAACCAACTTGATATATTGTTTTCATCAAGTATACTCATTTATGCTCAGAGTAAAACTTAATAACATTTTGTGAAAAACAGTTGTTATATATACGGTAGCCACGTAGTTAAATTTTAAATATTTCATATGTATGACATCCTTGGCGTGGTTTAAAGTATATGAATTCAATAGGAATACAAAGGACTGTATATTTGATCAGTAAGTGGTTTAAAGTATATGAATTCAATAGGAATACAAAGGACTGTATATTTGATCAGTAAGTGGTTTAAAGTATATGAATTCAATAGGAATACAAAGGACTGTATATTTATTTGATCAGTAAGTGGTTTAAAGTATATGAATTCAATAGGAATACAAAGGACTGTATATTTATTTGATCAGTAAGTGGTTTAAAGTATATGA